TCAGCTGCTTGGAAACCCCAGTATGGAACCAGGATCGGTCCGTCTGCATGTATCAATCCGGAGCCCATTTGTCTCGGTATTCAAGTGCCGCTAGTACAACACAAATCCGCAAGCAAGGAACAGATGACCGCCTGCTGAACCGCACGTATGAAGTACAGCGTAGCACTGCTAGGAGGAGCTCCCATCGCCAGTTCCGCTACCATTGGGTGGAATAGGGGGGCTCGTTCGCTGATAAGTACCCGCTAATGGTCTGCTGCTGCGCTAGCGAATGCCACTAAGATTCAACAGCGGCATGGTGAGTCACAGAGTTGCAGAACGCAAGCGTCAATACGTAAACTGGCTGGAGCCTTGTCTCTCTGGGCTTGTAAGGGAGGGAAACTTGTGGCGCGGCTTAACTCCGAACAGGCCTCGTCTCGCATGATTTTGCTGCAGCGCCGCTCGAATGGCGCGCCCATACATACATTCGGTAATGTAGCATATCGTATATGTAATCCGGGCTTCGCCAGCCCTCCGTAGCGTACATGCAGATACCTTGCGGCAGTAGGCCCTGTGCTAGCCGAAAATGTCAAAGGACGAAGGACGCTGGCGCTCTGGATCAATAACCGGCCCGCCTTTGAAGGTTCCCCCTCGCTGGGTCCGTCAGTTGGGAGAAGTGCTGCCACATGCTGTACTAACAGATGGTACTTGATGAAGCAGCTGACAAAGCTGAGATTTCATTTTGAAATAAGCTCCCTCCGGCTGGCGTAGGGCCAAGGTCGAAAGCCTGTAGTTGCGACATGGCAAGCAACGTAACGCAAAAGCAAAGTGTGTTCAGCTTGGTCCAAACACATAGGTCGCCACTAGGCTACGCAAGGATATCTAATACAGACTGCCTCTAATTCTATTTAAAATACCAATTAGACCATTTTTTTTTCCCACTACTTGTACTACAGCATTCAATCTGAATAAACTACTAATTGCACCTCTCTTCAACTGTTATTGGGCGCCTTTAATATATGGGGGCCGAGCAGCTACCGTAGGGGCCCACAGGCGAAAGTTAGCGAGTACCGCTTGGTAGTATCACGCAAATGGCCAGTCTCGACACCCCACCACCGCGATTCTCGGGGAATCCTTTATTATAATTTCTAGGTACCAGAGTTTCTCTTCTTTCTAAACAACTTTTTTTTTTCTTCAACTCTATCCCTCGATCACCTGCTTCTGCTAGAGCTTCTCTCCCATGCCCCGAGCTCTTGACAACCCAGCCCGCTCCTAAGAACTCGACGCTTCCTGTTGCCGGTGCTCTGCTTCGTACTTCTACATACAAACGCTTCGGGCGCCCCTCTCCGCCTCCCACGCAATTCACTGCCATCCAGCCATACCCAGCCGCCAAGTCAATTCCGCTGCTCTTCGTGAACTCCTGGCGACGCCCATCAGCAGTCGCCTAATCCCGCGTCCGAAATCAGGTGACCGTTACAGAGAATTCCGTTCTCTTTTCAAACCACGTCCAAAGTGCGATCTGGTTTATTTCCGACTCATGCAGCGCTTTTCCACCGGTTGTCGGCAGATCTTCTAGACGTCCAAACACCCGCTGGCTTGTCGCACCCACCGTCGCAGTATCTTACTCATTGGCCTGGCTTCAAGCAATTGACAGGCTGCCTCCGTTTGCTCTCTCCAACATCTTCAGAGGTCTAATATATGCGCCGCATCATTCATAACCGGAAAGCCGCTTGTGAGGCCGGCTGAAGATCAAAGAGTAATTCGGCGTGATCCTTAAGTCCGAATCGCCTCATCCGTCGACGACGTTTCGCGAATACGACAAAACCCCCAATCTTCCCCCTTCTTCCGCAATGACGCCCACTCCGCCTTCAACCAATTCTTCTACCGGAGGTCGCTCCCCTGAGGAGCAGTTTCGGGTTGTGAGGAAAAGAAACCGTGTGCCTCTGAGCTGCTATCCTTGCAGGACAAGAAAGTACGTCTTAATCTCCGGGCTGTCCATAGACGAGAGTGTAAGCGTGCTAACCTGTTATGCAGATTGTGAGTTTCTGGCCATTCGATATCGCATAGCAAAGGCGACAACCAGCGGCGGTTATTCGTTCATTTACTAGCTAACACGGTATAGGAAATGCGATCGGAACCACCCATGCAGTAACTGCACCAAGCGGGAGGGCAACGATACGACATCATGCTCTTATGCAGCTCCAGTAACTCGCAAGAAGAGCCAGAACCAGGCCGAAGCCACTCCCGATGACATGCAAAACAGGATCGACCGGTTAGAAGGCCTTGTCTTGTCTTTAATGCATGGCGGGGCTAATATAGATCCTGCTTCAGCCACCGCGGCCGGCCGCGCTGCTTCTACGTCGCAGTCATTAACTGACAGCAGCTCTTCGGCCAAAGCCGGCCGTGATGAGGCTGTAACGATGGTCGAGGACGATAGCGACGTGGAAGAGGGCCTCGCAGCTTCACTCGGTGTTTTAAAGGTCGACTCTGACAAAGGCAAGTCGATGTATATCGGCCAAGAGCATTGGCACACAATATTGTCAGACATCACCGAAGTGAAAAACTACTTCATGTTCCACAAGAAGGAGCTGGAGACGAGTTATGAGCGTGTCAGGAATTCCAAACCTGTAGCTGCACGGGAAGGGCCGACATTATTGCTTGGTGCCCTGCCAGCCTCTGAGATTGAACTTCGCGCGGAGCTGCCTCCAAAGTCAAGTATTCTGACTTTATGCAGTCGCTATTTCAATTCCATGGACAACGCTGTTTGCATAATACACGGGCCGACATTTTTCAAGCAGCTGAAAAAGCATTGGGAGGACCCGTCAAAAACACCAATCATGTGGCTGGGCCTTTTGTATTCCGTGCTTACTCTTGCAATGCTGAGCTATCACAAGGTTGGAGATGAGCCTCCTGAGTGGAGGGGTCGAACTTTAGAATTAGCGTCTGAATACCGGCTGCGAACAGTGCAATGCCTGATTAAGGCAGACTACACAAAACCAGTCGAGTACACGGTTGAAGCCATGCTTCTATACGTCTTTGGAGAATACTCGTCTCGATGGGATGCCGATCTTGGCCTCTGGTTGATTGTTTCCGTCATTACGAGGATAGCCTTCCGTATGGGATACCATCGCGATGCGAAATGGTTTCCCAATATTACTCCTTTCCAAGCTGTGAGTGAATAACGACATTTTCAAAATTTGGGCGCGATGCACAACAAGGCCAAAAGAAGAGCTAACATAAGATGATGTAGGAAATGAGGCGAAGAGCGTGGGCGCTGGTACGAATGTCGGATGTCGTATTTTCACATCAAGTATCATTACCCAACATGATATATGAGCATGACTGTGATACCCAACTTCCAAATAATCTTTTTGACGATGAGTTCCACCCCGATATCAAGGAATTACCGCCATCTCGCCCTGCTTCAGAACCGACGCCGATATCATACATGATTGCCAAGGTGAGGCTCTGTAATGAGCTAGGGAACATCTTGCAGGCAACAAATTTGGTGGGGAGACCGGTTTCATACGATGAGATTATTCGATTCGATGCAAAGCTTCGTCAGGTGATGCAGGAGCTTCCTCCCCATCTCAGACTTGGCACCTTGGACACATCCCAAGACCCCGTGACGTTAATCATCGCTAGATACAACATCGATATCTTGTACCAGAAAATGCTTTGCCTCCTGCACCGGAAGTATCTCTCCAAGGCCCGGCATAACTCGAGATATGCGTTTTCGCGTCGAAGTGCTATCGAGGCCTCGCTGCAGGCAATGGATCATCTAGCCAAATTGCATCGCGAGTCTCAAGGTAACGGGCGGCTACGTTCCGTTTCATGGTACATCAAATCAATTGCAACAAAGGAATTTACCTTGCCGGCTATGCTCCTCGTCCTAGATCTTCACTATGACAACATGGCAGCACAGTCCTCTAGCCCTGTAGACGATAGCAATTACAGATACACTGAGGAGGAGCGAAGCAAAATGATTGGCACGCTCGAGACTGCCAAGGGTATATGGGCAAGTCTTGCTAACACCTCGATGGAAGCGTTCAAGGCCTCTAAAGTTATCGAAATTATGATGGAAAAGATTAAATCGCCCTCTGGAGATGCTATGGATCCCAACAGCGACTCATCTCTATCTGATTCTCTGTCCGCCTCGATTGTAGGCACGGCAATGGATCACACACCTTCGTCCTTGGGCCTTGGTACTCCCATTGGGATGCCTGGCTTTGGTGGCCAAGATCCGTTCTCGCAAAGCTCCTCCTTCATGGGTATGGATTTTGGTGTTCGAGCCGGAACTGGGGCTGAATTCCCTCAATTTGATGGCCTCAACGCCGGTGGCCCTGCCTCTCCGCTCTCCATGTTTACAAATTTGGGTGGTGCGAGCGGAGCAGGCGACCTGGCGTCCAATTTTGACTGGGTAAGGCTACAATTACCCTCTTTTGTCCCTCTTTTTACATATATAAGCCAGGCGTTTGCTAACACATTTTGTGGCAGAATGCATTTGAAAATTACGCACAAATGACGACTTGGGGAGCTGATCAAAGTTTCCAGATCTACGGCTCTGGAGACCAGTCCTCTCCTGAACAGGGGCTTGGTGATGGTACAATGAACGGACAACAGTAGCCTTATTGTATATTGAATAATTTTGTTTGTAAGATAGCTCACGTTCGTTGTAAGGTGTATTCCTTTTTTTTTTTTTTAAGGATGTTTGGACAAGGAATGCAACGCCTCTATAGAGGGACTTGTTTCTAGTTGCTCTATCTATACGAAATCCCCTTTCTCTCCATTTCATCTTTCAACGCCGATAAAAAGGTAGTCTCTCATTGTCGTCTCTCATCGTAATAAAGTGCTGCTCGTAAAAAAAGAGCGTGACGTCATATCAGCTATTTCTAGTGCCAGCGTCGCTGATCTCAAGATATTTATGCCAAGCAATGCTTAGTCATATCTAATCGATAAAAGGGCATCAATTCAATTCAGATACTGGCTTCTCTCTCCACCAATGCCTGTACCCCTGTTTTGCAGGCTGACGTGACCTTGTCACTGCTGCAACACACAAAAAAAGGCATTGAATGTCTCTTGGGAGCAGATTCTTCTTTCCATGCTTCCTCCCCCAAAAGATCTCTGCAGCTGCAGCCAGAGTTTCTCCCTAATGATCCTCCTACGTGCCTGCCCTCTTGCACAAGGAATCTTCACAGTAACTCCCAGCAGAGGCTGACTTTTGGGATTGATCCACTGCGGTGCCTCAGGCGTCCTGATCTGCTGATTATACCGCAGTCTTGTTTGTGCATTTTCTGATATAGGCTGGCTTTCTGTTACCGATGCAACTATGGACGACGATCAACAAGAGCATGTAGCTGACGCGAGTCTGCTATTTCCACAGGATGTTGGAGGTGCCCTGCAAGTCCTGGGTGGGAACTCTGTGATCTCGCGTCGACAATTTAGTACATCGGATAGCAGCAGCAACCTGGTGTCTCCAAGCATTGCCGGGCGAAAAAGGAAGCGAGTGGGAGTCTCCAATTCAACCGGAGATGAAACCCCAAAGAAGATCAAGACCGTCTCTGCTGACCAGGGCCATCTTGATTCTGGCAATGCGCCAGCTTCTGATCATGATGTGTCGCTGCAACTCCCAGCGGAGGTGTGGCAGCATATCTTTTCCTTCCTGCCTCCGCATACGCTTGGAGCCCTGCTGCGGGTCAACAAATTGTTCAATAAGTACCTCGATCCTACGTCCCCATTCAACATCTCTGCTCCAGCGTTCCGCGTGCCTTCCATAGTACCTGCGCTTCACCCAGACGCCGTATGGCGGACATCCAGGTGTCTTTTTTGGCCAAGGATGCCTACACCTCTTATGGGGAAATCTGAACTAGACATGTGGCGATTTGCCTGCTCACGGTCTTGCCAACTATGTGGCCAGATAGATGAAACTCATGTCGCCTGGGATTCCTTGCCATGGCAGCGTGGGCCTGGTAATAACACTGTTTCACCGATATTCGTGTTCTTCGTCAATTCTTGTGGAAAATGTTTGGCTGAGACAAGCGTCAAAGTGAGTGCAATGCCAAACCAAACTCTGAAGACCACCAAGAGACTGATGCATATCTACAGGAAGTTGATATGCTATTATCAACGTCCATACCTTCGATTCTTGTACCCGGACTTCCTATGGCCTTTTTGACTCCTGATCTTAACGTAATCTATACACAGTCAATAAAAACTACCCAAATGCCTACTTCTATTCCACTAACGAGAATATATTGGCCTACCCAAGTGGAGTGTCTTCGATTAGAGTTTGAAGAAGTCAAACGATTTGGCCCTGCAGCCGCTGAAGAATGGATAAAGGGTCTAGAAGCTCGTGGCGCAGATACCATTCATGAAGCATCACGATGGGAGAAGTGGTATTTGGCTGGAGGAGTTAGCCAGATGCTCATGCGTTCGTCTTCAACTCCACCAAAGCCTACTACTCGTGGCGCGCTCAATTCGGGCATGCAAAACGTCGAAGCCTCTTCTCGGCCAAAACGACGAGCTCAAGAAATAGCAGAAGAACTGAAATCTCAGAGACGAGCGGATATAGAAGGCCGAGCTGCGCGGCTTCAGCCTCCCATACCTCCAGATGTTCTTGTCGATCTTCCATCTTTCCAGATGGCTCTACAGAAAGCTGAACCCATTCGCGATAAAGAGTGGAATAATCTGAAACAACAGCTCATATCTCAGTATAAAAAGATAAAAAAGGCAGAGAAAAAAAGTGCGTTGGCTGCCAGGGCTTCTGAGAAACATCTAGCCAAAAGTATAACCAAGAAAAGCACAGAGCCTGTGCGTCAAGGCGGGCATGATGCTGGAACGCTTGTACGAATACGCATCTCTGCCTTCACGGACGAATTCATCAACGATCATTTAGGCGAAGGGCAAAGTATTGAGCGAAAAGATTATGCTCAATTCATCATGGGGGTGCTGGCCTACGTTCGCAAGCAATTCTACGCAGAGTTTTTGAAATTAGATACCACTTCTTTGATGCCAAGGCTAACTCTAGACGATATGAAGTGGATATTCGATTACAAGATTAAGCAAAGGATTAAAGATATTGACCATGACCATTTCTCCTGCAGATTTTGCCCAAATTCTAAGCAATTTGGATTCCACGCTGTTATCCAGCACTATGTTTCAAAGCACGCAGGGAAGAAAATGCGTAACCAGCACTGGAAAGCTGAATGGCCCGAGGCGCCTGTATTTGGACCATCTACGATTCAACAAGCGTCCACTGTTAACTCCAAACCGCCCTCTTCTCGTACTTCGGAAATTGATGATGCATACAAACTGAGAATCTATGCGATGGCAAAAGCTATAAAAAGCGTGTGGAAAATCATGAAGAATGTTGAAAACATACCCACTTCGGCCAAAGTTTTTGTCTCAATCTACCACGTCGCTAAAGATTATCAAAAACATGACCAGGAGCCTGTATCACTGGAAACGTTCTTGGACGTCTTGAATCACTTCAAATCCTCTCCTCTCCTTTCCAGTTACCATGGTTTAGCTTGCAAAGTTTGCATGTTGTCACAGACGCGAGATGAAGACAAGAAGAGTTTATTTACGCTTCCTACCCTAGCCAAGCATTTTCATGACGTTCATGATAAAGGAGGGGCTCCGCTCATAGATTGGCGCGTCGACTTGATCTGGTTGCCGGACATACAGATATCCCAAGACCTGCAATTAAAAGCTTGGAAGAGCAAACGCGCTTTTGAGCTAACCTCAGAAGCTTTGCCGTGGCTATTTGAAAGCGAGGAGGAAACAAGCCAGGGTGGCCCCTTCTCAGCCCTGCAGAATCCTCTCACCACAAGCTTGGAGACAGTGGATACAGCTTCTACGCAGATAACCTATCGGTCTGATGAGAAGCTTCATGGAGATGTGCCCAGTCTTCTGCCAGCCAGTGTTGTCTACGCCAGATCAAGCACAGTTCAAGAGCAGGCAAGGTATGATGCTGTTGCCTCTCGGGCAACGAGCACTCATGAGAGAATACCTCAATTATATGAACCACTTGATAGAACGAGAGCGCGTCGCATGGTCACTGAGCCAAGTACAGAGGGCAGCTCGGGTTGGGGATCGTCTCGCACCTACTCACGGAGTTTTAGTCCTAGAGAACTTGGGCCAGAGTCAAGAAGACACTTGAGTTCATACCACCCACATTATGGGCACGATCTTCAAGTGGTAGAATGGCTGAACGGATATCCATACTATCCGGATGTAGATCTTCGAAGAGAGCAAGGCTACACAGAAGCTGGAAACGGACACAATGGCCATCGCAGTCGCTATTATATGCCCAGTGGCCACCAGCAGCCGATGCCTTCCGCGCGCCTCTACCACTATGGTGAATCTGTTCTGTCATATGACAGGCATAGTGCTGCTGACGCACGAAGTGTGTCGAATGGCTATTATACACAGCATCCAACTATTACACGAGATTACAGAATTATTTCAAGCGCAGATCGCTCCGATTATACCAATTTAGGACTGCATAGGAGCACTACGCCCTCACAACGAGCGTATGATACTTATGCCTCACGATATGCATTAGCCAATAGAAGGCCAGGAGTTTGAGGTGCGATATGGATAGGGGTGGTATTTGGAATTTTTCGCTTTATTTGTTTACTTGGCGCTTCGGAAAAGGCATTTCTAATTACATAATACGAGCAAGAGAGTTTGACGAAGGGGATAGAGGGTATATCGGAAGGGGAAAACGGATGTCATATAGGTAGGTATACATCACGGTAGGGACATGGACGCTCTAAAACTTGTTTACCATATAGATAATCGCATTGAATACGGTCAAAAGTATATTTCTTATAATTGGAGACGTGACAACAAAGTCGAGTGGTGTAGTTATAGAAGGTATAAAAATCGCTTGCAGCCATGGTCGCGGATATTCTTCCCTCTCTTCCGGTGCCATCGCCATCATGTACAGTTGTTTACATTTCAAAAAGAAAGAAAATGCGCCATCGTACACTTCTCTCCAGCCCCTCTCCCTCTCCCTCCCCTCTTCTTTTTCAAAAGATAGAAAGAAAGAAAAACAAGAGGCGGTTTTGTTTTGTTTCCCCTCTTTCCCCCCGTCCTACCCAGCCTTTGACCTTCAGTGAAAACCCCGTGACGCCTTCATTGATCACCTTTTTTTCCCCTCTTCCTTCTTCTTCATAAATCCGCCGCTTCGTTGATTTAATTTTTCTATGCAGACGTTCATGGCCTTCCCATCTCCTTTTGAACTCATTCCCTACTTTGCAACAAAAAAAAAAAAGAAAGTAATCCTAGAACCGTTCATTGTTAAGGGAAGAAAAAGGAGGAGGAGAAAGGTCTCTCTCTTTCCCAGCATGAAAATTTTCCTTTTCTCTTTTCTTCAATTGCTCTTTTCTTTTCATCTTGCGTTTGTTTTACAGAACCTCACCAATAATCTTGGCAGCCTCGCGATACGTCTGGAGCAGCTTCTCGCACTTCTCGCGCTCCTTCTTGACGCCGTCGTCCTCGTAGAGGAGCTCCTCAAAGAGGGCCTCCTTGTACAACTCGCTGACAAGGCGGTTCTGGACGACGTCCTTGCAGTGGTTGACGAGGAGGTGCATGATGGCCTTGGGGACTTGGTCGGCGATGGACTCGCGGACGATGTTGAAGTAGGATGAGATGAGGGCGCGGATGAGCTCTGTTTCCATGGCTTCGCGCTCGGTCATAGCAGGTTCGTTGGATTCGCCCTGTGTTGAATCAATTAGTAAGAACGAATAATGAAAAGGGGAGAGGGAGAGAAAGGGAGAATTACCAGATGTGATGCCAGGCCGTAGCTACGAGATGACGGGTCATACTCATCCGTAACGGACGGAGGAGCTGTCCGGATTGGCAGCTTCTCTTCACGCCGCAGACTTTGTGAGAAGCTGGGCTCGGACGGGTGGCTGGTATGTCTGCCGTTGGTGGTGGGAGTGATGGGGGCGCTCATAGGCGTCATGCCATCTTTGCCGAAGAAGTAGTTCAAAAACGTATCGCGGGTACCGCCAATGCCTTGTCCATTCATGCCTGGGGATGACGGGCGAATTCCATTCAGGGATGCTCCGAGGCCAACCATGGCATCCTGGTGGACGGCAGGTGACATGCTTCGTGAAGGTTTCGATGTGGCGAGTTTGCGAAGATTGGGCTGCTCCGCCCTCTCAGCAACCGGGCTGTCCTCGCTGTCCTCATGGGCATCTGTGCCGTTGGGGCCTACCTCCTTGAGACGTCGCTTCTCTCGACGATCACGCTCCTCCAGAATCAACTTCTTGCGCTCCCGCTCCTGTTTGGCGGTAACAACGTTGCTCATTGCCGCTGCGGCGCCTAAGAAGTTGGGATGATTTGTGTTGATGTACGCACGTTGAATCGAAATGAGCGACTCAACATACTGTGAGGAAGGGCCTAACCGCTCTCGCAGAAGGTCTGATACAACCTCAATAAGCTTGGCTTGGAGCCTCGGGAATCTGGAAAGTTCTACTGAGCCGCAAGTGTGGCAAATCTTTATAAGTTCTTCATAAACAAGTTCAACGCAGCGCTGGCTAGGAATCTCTAGAAGCTTGATTTGGGGCTTTACGAGAAGATCGAAAGCCATTTCGGGCACGAACAGACTGGGTCGAGGACCAGTAGAGTTGCGAATTGCTGTTCTAATATCCAATGCTGACAGATTTGACGTGGGGTCAATGGTATCTAATGAGCTTCCAAAAACAGAGTTGAAGATGTAGTAGATACGGGCGCCACCGCACAGCTCCTTGGTGGAAATCTCGGTGGATGTGCCGTCAATGGAGGAGATGAATGAGGTTGCGAATCTCGTCATGAGTTGTAGAATCAGAGAGCCTCGGTGCTCCTTTCCACTGAAGTGCATGTCACCATAGCCGGCGAGCTCCTGTTGTGTTTGGCCCATCAAAGTGTTAAGGCGTGCCTTGATATCGGGTAGACGCTCTCGAATGTGAGCCATAAGAGTCGTATTAAGCGTCTTGGCCAAAAAATGGGTGCCGCACCGGCTAGAGATGTTACGATAAGCTGGGTGGTGCTTAAAGAATTCGTTTTCGGCTTTCAGAGCATCATCCATGGGCTTGTTGCCTTGAATATCCTGCTGGGAACGGTTCACCACACCAATGAAGCCGAGCTTCAATGGGTACACTCGGCCGGACAGAATGTCGAGAGCGTTGGTGCCGTGGTCCATCAAGTCGAGCTTGGTGAGGACGCCGATGGTCCTCCGGCCGAGAGGATCCACATGTCGGGCAAGCTTCAGAGCCTCCGAGTTGACGAGGTCGACATTGGCCGGTGATACAGCCAGTACGATACTGTTTGGCTTGGCAATGTACTCGGATATTAAGTTTCTCGTTTGTTTCTCAATATCACTGGGCTGATCACCAATGGGTACCTGTGCGTGATGCCTCCCAGGTTAGCCGAAAAAGAGCAATGCTAGGCGGGGAGACTGCAGTTGAAAAAGATGAACAAGACGAACCTTGGTCAAGCCGGGGAGATCAACCAGCGTAAGGTTGAGGACATGCGGTGAGTAAATTTTCAGGTTAATGGGCTGTCTGTTGATGCCCTTGTTGGTACCAGCAACTCGAGACGTCTCATTCTCGATTTCTCGCTTGACATCTATAAAATCGGTGAACCTTCTATTGGGGATGTGGTGGAACTCGGCCCATTCTCCGCGGCGCGCAGCTCCAGGTGAGCGGTAAGGGTCGTTGTAAGGGTCCGGGCCAGACTCGTCCTCTATGATGTTGATGAGCTGAAGGATCAGCGGTCGCCGAGTCACGATGCCGCTGCCTCGAGGCAAAAAGTCGCGGCCGACGATGTTCTCGAGGACGGAAGATTTTCCGGCGGACTGGGATCCCACGACGACCTGAGCGGCGGGGCATTAGCAGCAAGCGGGGAGACGAGGATTGGGGATTTTGCAGCCACACACAATTTGCGGGAGATCAAGAGAGTCGCTGCCGATGGTGTTGAATACCAGGTCTTGCAGCTTGTTGACCGTGGTGAGCAGATCTTCGCCGAGGGCGGCCATTGCAGCGGCGTCTTGGGAGCCTTTCTTGTTTTTTTCTCTCTCGCTTCGCTTCGGGTGCAGCGCAGTCAGGCGACTCAATTAGATGAGGCTACCAGGATGATACAGCAGCACTGATGCCTCCAGCCAAGGGATATACGCACGCACAGGCAATGCGACGACTTGCGCTGTGTTTTTTTCCTGGCTATCAATTGAGAGAAGCAAATGGCTTCTCGGGTCAGTCTGGCAGCGAACCAAGGCACTACGTATTAGATTCACGTGTAAGGAGGTGGGTCTCGTTAATGGCTTGCCGCAGAACAGGGAGCAACGCCACAGGTACCAGGTACGCCGCAAGCGTATGCACATCAGCGTCTAGAAGGCAGTACACAGAACCTCAAACAGCGCCTCCCTTCGGCCAGACGCCCTAGCAGATGGCGATAACAAAGAGCCATTTGAACGACCTAAAGAATTGAGTAGAAAGCCCAACTGGAGACGGCGTGCTGCCACATACGACAATTTCTGATTTTACTTTTTTACTTTTTCAGTTGCTTGGTAGTCTAGGTATTTGTCTGGGCAAAACGTCAGGGCCGGCCCTGGGCGGCAAAAGCGACTGGGTTTTGATTCTTTGGGACAGTGCTGTTTACTCTTAACTTTTTTCTGCCCATCCTGGCATACCAGGTACTCATTAGTGGGAGTGTTTTGTTTAAGCATTTTCCGAGCGAACGTTTCAGGGCATTGATCAGCTGCTCGATATAGTTCGACATCATATGTGTGTTATGCGCGAGCCGATATTATGTGGTACAGATGCTACCAGTGGTTCAGGTTAAAGTCAGCTCTAGCGTGTTCCACAGAAGGGCTTCTTGACTGGTTTCCATGGCCAGCATAAAGTGCTGTTAGAATATCGAGCCATGATCCTTGATTAGCTCTGGCGGCGATTCTCGGTAAATCCACTAGTGCCTCAGCATCGATGTATGAGGCTCCAGGCTTGGAGGCTGTATTCTTGGCGGACGAGATATCAATCGAACTGCGCAAGACGCCGCTCACCTGACTGTGCTCCTTCACAAATTGGGCATCGCCAGAAGATTCATCCTAGTCCAGTTGACAATCCATGACTCAAGGGCGGAAAGCAGGCAGAGGGCGGAGCGCAACATCACGATTCTTTACGACTTGATGCAGCGAGACGCGGTTCTTTCCAACTGGCCAACCAGACAGCCGCCGATTCTTGGTTATCTCTGGTTGGGCGCCTGTGGATACTGCAGTCGTCGACAGAACACGACAGCCCTGCAGCTAGCGGTTGAGTTGGCTTGCAGTGTGTCACAACGCGAATGGCCCGTTCCAAGACCCCGTAGGAGCCATGCGAGCACGGGAGGGATGGATGTGTGTAGGCTTCTGCGTCAAGCATGCATTGCTTTTCCATGACGCCCGTGGCGCCTTGATCTTTGCCGGTACAGTAGAGCAACAAGCAGAGTAAGTAGCAAAGTAGAAGCACCACCGTTTATGCATGCGCGGAGGAGGTCCTCCGAATCACGGCCGTCAAAAGGCCAAGCCAAGCCAATATGCAGCTATGCGACCTGATTCGCCACCCGAGTTGCTAAGCGGCACATTCAGGCTTAGCTAAGCGATTCATGCCGCTGTATCGGGGCCCGCCCCACACCTTCTACAACCATCATGCGAGACAGAGCTGCTTTAAAGTCTCGTCTCGAAAAACCGTCGAGAGAAAACGGGACATGCCCCTGGTGCAGCACCTCGAGAAATGAGCACATACGGCAGTCCTGGAGCGCTGCCACAGACGAGGCCAACCCCGTACGTGTTCCCCCGACGCTGGATTGACGTCTAGAGCTCAGGAGTTGGCTGACCCGCCGTCTCCATAGGCCACAGCGAGGGAGCTTCCCCTTGGACCACGATGGTAAGCCTGTTGTAATTTTCCAATCTAAATTGCCGCTCTCTCCTGGATGGCCCAGATCGCCGTCAAATATCAAATCTAATCTAATCTGTCTTGGATAGGCGAGTGCAAGAAGGCAATGACCAGCTACCTTGCCTGCATGAAGAAGGTTCGCGGCGTCAATGAAGACGAATGCCGCAACCTGGCCAAGGCGTATCTGTCGTGCAGAATGGACAGGTAAAAAAGAAGCAAGACGCAGAGTGTGAGACAAAATATGGGCTAACGTGTCGGCAAAACTAAGAAACCTGATGTTGCGGGACGACTTCAAGAATCTCGGCTACCAAGAGCCTGAGCCGTCGGCAAAGGCCCCAGGGCCAGAAAAGGGTGTCAAAGGCGAACTCCGGTGGTAGCAAAGGCGAGTGGGCGCCCCATAGCCGCCAGACAGGCGTCCCCTAGTCGTCACGCAGCCAGCATGGAGTGTAAAAGGGGAGGGAAAGCCATTGGCCGTTCCCGTGGTGACATTGCCCAACCGTATCTGTACATATTCTGGCGGCGATCTGGAACTTTCCACGCCAGCTGTATTATAGCCCCCCCCCCTGCTAGCAAATCCCCTCTCTCTCCCTTTACCGTGCCTTGGGCCGTATTGTTTTGCTGTGATGTGCTGTGATGTGCTGTGCCGTGCTGTGGTGTGTGTGCCATGCCAGCTCAGACTCTGGTGGCGTTATATCTGAGCTGGATGGGCTAGTGCTACCGTCCTGCCGACTAGCGGTCCAGATTACAGGCACACAGCGCTGCTAGCCAGCGCTACAGACACCTTAGTCTGGGGTTGTCTCGGAACATGCCAAGGGTTGCCCCGTCAACCCCCGCTAAAATCGATTGCTGGCTCGATTACAGGTGCAAAGTACCGAGCACCTAACGCTTCTTATTTCCATACAAAACGTCACGCCTCGCATGCGACCTCTCTAGTTCACCGCCGGCCTCCCAGTGTTGCGACGGCACGTCCATTGCACGCATAAAACTGTCGTAGCATCCCTCCGAGACTAATCTTTTTTATTTCTTTCTTTTTTTTCGTTTTATTTTTATTTACATTGTGACGATCTGCGAGAAGAAGGAGAAGAAGGTCAAGGACAAAATGAGGCAATCTGGCGAGGTCAAGTCGAGTAGGGGGACACCGCCGTCGCCCTCCTACATGAGCAAAGACGAATTCGGTACGGCATATGCGGCAGATTGACCGATGGTTCGGGCTGGTCGCTAATCTACACTGTCATGAGCAGCAAACTACCTCGCAAATCTTCGAAGCAAGCCCGTAGGGAGGCCCAGCGGCGCCCGGCCACCGCCTCCCAGCACTCGACCGCAGCTAAACCGAAACAGCCTGAGTCAGATCAGCTACGATGCATCTACACCGTCGCCAGACACTCCTGCTCACATTGCTGGCCACCAACGATCGCAGTCACACACGCCCAGCCTCGTCGGAGGAAGCACGGCTTCAACTCGCATTTCAATGATTAGTACTCGAAGCCGTGATTACTATCCTACCAGTCCAACGCCGCCTCCCTTGAAGCCAGATACCGTTGTGCCTACAGCTAGCTACATGGAACGAGGCCAGCGTTGGATGGAAAGAGAAGAAGCGTCGTCACTACGAGATGCCATGGAAGAAATGGACTTTCGCGAAAGCAGAAAGAATACCCCTGCCCCCGATCCTGCCATCGAAGACGATGAGACTCGCATCTACAATGCTGCTCTTAACGAGGCAGCTGAGCTGGTGTGGGAGCACCAGCACGGCGTCAAGCCTCGGCCCCCTGACGGTGCGTACCTGTATCGACCACACCTTAGAAAGGACAGCTACGCGCATGCTCGGGCAGCTACCGTGAAAGGGGGTGGGTCAACTGGTGCGAACAAATCAAATAGAAACTCGTATGCTGAAGCGCAATCGCCATCATCAACTTCATCCGAAGGCGACAACAGCCCCAAAAGAAACGAATCTCCCGAAGAGGCACCCCAGTCCGAAGAGTCGCCAACCAAAGCAAAGTCATATGGAAGCGTCGGAGGGCGTTTCTCGGGTGGCCGGCGTAGCAGTATGAAAAGGAATATTAGCGGAGAAGTTGAGCGGCCTTTCTCTGGTGATCAGATATGGGAAGAACCCGAAGCTCAGTCGGGTGAGGCATCCACGCCAACGGCTTCTCCTCAAAAAGATTCACCCATTTCACTCAAATCCAAGCCCTCCAATGCTGTGAGACGCAACCCCTTTCAACGCTTTCAAGGAGATTCCAGCCCGACCAAACGGCTGGATAGGGTAGAAATTCACAGGAATCCCCCAACACGATCTCGCAACGCCCAATATCAAGTCAACGCTCCTGTCTCCGCTGCGAAAGCGCTCCCTGATGGACAGCATTTGAATGGAGTTGAGATTCGCGGCCAAGATATCCGTGAAGCTACTAGCATGAGGCTCAAAGACCGCAGCTCTAAATTACCGGAACCTACCGCAGTCAGCGACAGCCCTGGAAGGCCCATTGTAAGCTTCGATGCTAACTGGAAAGCCCCGGAGGAGTCCTCGTCCACTGATGCCAGCTCAGACCGACCAAACCCGTCAACCCCAGCATCAAACCGCTTCCGGTCCCAGTCACAAGTCCAGCCTCAGTCCACAGCCCAAAATCCAACTCGGCCTATGGATATCCCTAGCATCGTTGTGGCGGAAGACCCTTCGCCGAGGCCAAGACCGCAAACGAGCGCGAGCGTGCCGTCGATCTCGATAGCGGAACCAGAAGAGACTTCGAAGAAACCAACGACCACGGCTAACATTCCTTCCATTGCGGTGGACGAAGCGCCAGAACCCCGCAAGATTCCCAGTATTTCGACGCCAAAGGATTCGCCCGTAAGAGGCTCACGCCCTCTTCCGACACCTGGAAGTCGGGGATCGCGAGGTCACTGGTCTCCAGCTCCAGCTCCAGGCGCCGCTGGCACCCCTGGCCGAGTAGGGACGCTCTGCAACCAGTGTGAGCGTCCTATTGAAGGGAAATTCGTGGCATTGGCCGGGTCCCCTGAGCGGTTCCATCCTCATTGCTTCCGTTGCTACACTTGCAATACTCGTCTTGAGGCCATGGAGATTAGCCCAGAGCCGGATGCATCGCGGGCTGAACGACTTGAGAGAATTCGGCGTCGCGCGGCGGGAGAGATATTGGATGAGAAGCCTGGCATGACCATGGCGGAAGACGGAGATGACCGCCTCCGCTTCTATTGCCATCTGGACTGGCACGAACTCTTTGCTCCACGCTGTAAGCACTGCAAGACCCCCATCCTCGGGGAGCATATCGTAGCTCTTGGGGCGCATTGGCACTACGGGCACTTCTTCTGTGCCGAGTGTGGCGATCCGTTTGAACACGGCATGACGCATATCGAAAAAGACGGGTATGCTTGGTGCATCAACTGCCAGACGAAGCGAACTGAACGTCGTGCACCCAAATGCAAGATGTGCAAGGCGGCTGTGATTGGCCAGTATATCAAAGCACTTGGTGGCGAATGGCATGAGCACTGCTTCCGCTGTGCCGAGTGCAAGGGAGGATTTGATGACGGGCAGATATTTCCCAAAGAGACTGCGACGGGGGCAATTATACTCTGCACTAAGTGTAGAGCCAGAGAGCTCAAGTTTTAAACAATATGACATGATGAAGCCATTAACGGATTTTGTGTATGCATTTTGAATTTGGATGAGGCGTTTCAATACGATGGGGGCGACACTGGCATCGGTAGCGTTGGGATAATGGTTGAAATAGGTAAACCTGGCTTCTGGCTTGTAATTGCATTTTCACCTCGTATATGGTTTCCGTCCTCTGCGAAACAGTTCGCCACTGTCGTATGAACGGAGGAGCAGGCGTGAAAACAATCATGTGGCCCTAAATGGCCATCGTAGAACACCAAGTTCCCTCTCTCTCTCTCTCTCTCTCTCTCTCTCTCTCTCTCTCTCTCTCTTGATTCTAATGTATTACACAAGTCATGGTAGATAGTATGTGGGATAGAATGCGAACCCAATTACCCAGCTCAGATGCGCACAACGTCTTTCCATTTTCCGTATTCTGCTTATTCCTTCCCCCACACTCAGTATCATCGTCGTTTCTCCCCTCTGTCACGGCGTCGTCATCCTAGCAGGCGTCCTCCAACTTGTTCTTGGTGCACCTCGAGAGTGTCACCGTCTGCCATCTCGAGCTATAGATTCCGAACAAGGGAGAAATAAGAGATATGTTAGTTACAATGAAGATGTAAAAAACGTAAATAAAAGTAAAGACAATAGAAGAGGGGCTCATAGCAAAGCAGCGAAACAGGAAAGGCATACCGCGTCCGGGGTATCCGTCGGCTGGACTCGTGTGCCATCAAACAGAAACCGCACCGAATTCAGAGACTTGCCCTGGCGCTCGCAGAAGGCCGTCATGAGCTTCTCAAGCTTGGTGCTGCGCTTGATCTTGAAGAAGACCTCATTGTTGTTATCAGTGACCTTGATGTTAAGGTGCTCGGTGTTGGGAGGGGGGTCCTGTCGGTCGACGGGGGACTGGTTCGCATCGTTTTCAGACATGATTGTGGCGTGTTTTTCTCTTCTTTTTTTGGTTCTCAGTTTTTTTCCTCGTTCGTACTGGGAAGGATTCTCTTTGTTGGGTTTGGGGGTATCGCTAGAGGGAAAGAGAAGAGAAAGAAGTGGCTTAGAGGAAAAGAAATTAGGCGCCGCGAGAAGTGATGCGATAGAAGGGCGACGGAAGAAGGCGCCCAAAGGCTTCTATGGAAGAAGTGGGGAGAGAGGCTTCTGATTGGGCGGCTGAGGGTGGAAGTACAGGTACAGTGTCCTGCACGGCTGGGCTTCAGTGATTGTGCGCTGCTAAAGGTGGGAGTTTGGAGCGCTGTTAACAGCCAGGTACATGCCCCCGGCGTCACACTTTCTGTGCGCTGGTAGTGAGATGCCGGAGTGTGCAGCACCTCGTAGCCAAGCTTCAAGAAACAGGTACTGATGACATCAGTGACTACCTATCATTCTTAGGCTTGAAATGCAGGAACAGAATAGTTAATCCGGCATTCGTATCTTTATTCTACATCAATCGAAGGCTTCTAGTGGCTGATTCCGCCATTGGAAGGTTGTTTTAACACTCTTGGCTTTGCGAAATCTGCTTCCTCACTTGGACATCTAATTATGGTTCGTTCTCAATGTCTCAGCATTTTTGAACTTTAGCATCATTCTCATTTGTGAGATATTTCGTTCGGCAGCTAATCACAGCCACTGAGGCTGCTATAGCCATCTCCTAAAGACGACGTTGAAGCGCGTCCACCGTGTCATCCACGAGCAGTAAGTCCAAGGAATGCGCATCACTTTGAGAGTTCAAATATTGACGAGAGGGACTTTCCTTGAATTTCCAGTGTGCCATCCAGGGTAGGTTGTTGTTTTAGGACCAGGAAGGTCGAGCATACGAACCGCAAGGACATCCAAGCTGAGATTTAGCGACAGACTGCCTTGTCAAGAACAATTACAACGAGACTCGTTGTCAAAATGCTGTCAAGGCGTTATACGAATGCTGTGAAGCATTCTACCAGCGATATGGCGACGACGCAACCTCCCCCAGCTGCCCATTGCCAAAACTGCTGCGTCTGAAAATTCAGCAGCAGAAAGAAGGCAAATAAAAGCATGGAAGGGACAAGATGTGAACATTTCACGATTACAGATTATCTATGCGGCTCGCTTAGACACGCACAGTATTTTACGGTGTATCTAGATATAATGTACATAGTGTACATGAATAGAGGGGGAAAGGGAATCAAGAAATGTACGCTCATCGTATAATATGTCAACCAGTGTAGAGAATTTCAGGCAACTTAATGAGGAGCGAATTTTTCTAGGCGATCGTTGAGCACGCAGGAGATCCTTATAGGACCTGAACAAGCATCGAGACGTCTTGTTCCGAGACTCTAATACGAATGCCGATGACATTATGATGAGGAAAAGAAAAGAAGAAAAGAAGAAAAAAAAAATTGAGGAAAATTTGCACTAATAGTAGTGGGATTCACCAGCACAGAGCCCCGTTTTGTTGCATATCGCAGTATGCCAAAAAATCACCCTTGGTCGCTGCTGGAACTTCCCGATTACCTAATAGTACAGGATACTTTCTTTTGTATATGTAAGAGGCCTGTCTGCTGGGTATAGCCTACTAGAGACCCAATCACAGGCTAGCAGGCCGTCCGTGTGGAAGCTCAAGCGCGCCTTGAAGCAACAAAATATTGAGAGCTACTGAATTTCTGCGCTGAGCAGTCCACGATCTCGCCAGGCCGCATATCAAACGCCCTTAATCGACGGAGAAGTCCTCGACTACAGTAGCGACGTCGACTTCTCTGGAAGACCCAATTACGACGTCCATTCGTGTTATGCGGCCAAGGCCAACGCCCTGAAAAGTCGGCACTTGGACCCCAGCCAGACTTTACAGCGATCGCCTGGTTGGGACGCTTTGCGCGGCGAGATCCATACATCGAGCGGCACTGGACGTGTGATTTTTTCCTCCCTTCGATATTCTTTAGCATCGTGTAGGCACTGGACGTGCGCGGCTCGATAATCGCCATGGAGCAAGGGCTGTTGGACGACCTCAATGTCGGCCCCGAGGTGGAAGAGTTTGCCAACGCCCTTGACAACTGCCTCTCGCCATTCCTGTCGCTAGAAGACAAACGAGCCCGACTTCTCGACCTCCCCCGAAAATACTACGAAAATGCATCCCGACGGCTGCAACAGGCGCGGCCGAAGCGAGCTCGCAGCGGCTATGACGATGTAGACATGGATGCCGATGAGATCGAGACGGCAGATGGCCTCTCTGGAGAGGATGATGAGATTAAGCAGCTGGAGAAGGAAGTGCAGACCTGGGATTTAATTCGACGACTGTTACCACTACGATACGCGGCGCCAGAATCGAATGCCAACGATCGGCCGTCAATAGAAACAGGCTCGACGCAGTCCGATATGCTACTCGAGTTCCTTCTTGCGGATCCTACAGCTCAGGAGCGCCACGCAGTTCTCCAGTGGCTTCAGAGTAATGCGGCTGCTGGCCCAGATATTGATGATCTGGCACGAGATCTCCTGAAGCAAGCCGACAGGGGGGATATCGTTGCTCATGGCTGGCTCCACACCCGAGCAACTATCAAGCTACGCAAGAACCTGACGGCATGGCACGGTCTACTGGATAACCAGGGTCCTAAAGTCATGGAGTCCCACGTTGGCAAGGACGGCGCCCCTCTGATTACGCAGCTGGATCCCGATGCTATTACTCGTCAAGGACGGAAACTCGAACCCGCAGACGAGTACTTTGAGCGTGCTATTTGGCTGGGCTGCTTTGAACACCTTCGTCGTGGCAGCAGCCTGGAAGAGCTGCGTGAGTGGTGCCAAGAGCGCACCGAAATGTGGCGCGCTGTTTCCATGTCTGCCATGCCTCTCTCCGTTGATGACAACACCGCCCCTGTCGATGACTTGAAACCTGAATCGCTGGCTCTCTGGAGACGCACGTGCTTTGCCCTGGCTCGTCAGGGAGGCTCGGATGATTATGAGCGTGCGGTATATGGCTTGCTCTCGGGCGACATTAGCAGTGTTGAGAAGATTGCCAGGAGATGGGACGACTTCCTCTTTGCCAATTACAACGCCCTCTTGCGAACGCAGTTCGACACTTATGTACTGAGCCGATGCTCACCAAATATGAGCTCGACTTTGACCCAAAATTTTGCCTCCTTTGATGCCGTTCAGTTTTTGGGAGACCCACGAGGCGTTGAAAAGAGACTCGTTCGCTCGCTAGAGTCACAGGAAAGGGTCCGCGACGAGGCAACAGAGCCCAGTAAAGCTCTGCAAGCCGCGTTCATTGCTAAAGAAGTCGGGCGTCACTTGTACGAACAAGGCCTCGTCATGACTGCGGATGCAAATTCGAACGGCCAATCCATTCTTCTGCCTTCTTCCAAGGCCATCGACCCTACTATTGTGAAGAAGAAGTACTTTAGCCTGGATCAGCATCAAGGGCTCCGTCTTGTGTCCCACATCTTTGTGATCACCACACTAATGGAGAAGCTCAACTCTGCCCAGGGAATCATCTCTGGCTCTTTAACGCCGCCGCAGTGGTTATCTGGCCAGGAAAGTATTCTAGCGGGGTATACCGACTACTTGCGCCGCGCTGGTCTCCAAGAGCTCATCCCTCTGTATTGCTCAATACTACAGGCGCCAAGGCAGTACGACGTTCTGAGCTGGAATCTAATTCACGAAGAGGATCCTGAACAGCGTCTGCTACAGCTGAAACTGATAAAGAAGGCTGGAATCGACGTGTTGAAGTTTGTAGAGAGGCAGGTATGGCTCTTTTACGACGCTTTGGGAGAGAAAGCTCGCCAGCAAGCCTCATTCAGCATCATCAGCGATGCTCCCTCCACACCACAATTTGGAAAATTGATCAAGGCAGACTTCTTTGGTTATGAGGAGGGTGTTGTGCAGAATGACCACGACCGGGTCATATGTGCATTGGAGTGGCTTATGATGGTAGATGGGATGTGGCCCGAAGTCTTTTCCACGGGAACAAAGGTTTACAAGTTCTTCTTGCGTACGTAAAATTGTTTGCATGACATGACATGACATGAGATAGGACTATATGACTGATATCTTGACAGGAAGCGCGAACCTGGGAGCAGCCCGCCGGCTCCTGGAAAAGATTTCATTTGACAAGATCATTCAAGGGATATCTGGGCAGGAAGAAACTGATGATGTGTGGTATGAGGATGTCGACTTCTGGGCCAGGCTGCTGGAGCGTAGCGAAATTTCCAATATGAACCCCGAGCGAGTCATGGCAGAAGCGCGAAATTTCCGTGCGCTCGAAGCTCTCGTCAAGGCTTTGGATGCCTTGGAGACAGTAGCCTCACTGATGATTCTCTCGACTGAGTATGCGACTACTATTCTAAATGTCTGAAATATGTTTGACTAACTTTCGGCCAGACTCACTCATGGAGACCGGGACTTCTGGGGCCAAGCCAGCGAGGGCATCAAGAACGTCAAAGATTTTATGAAGCCCTTGCTGAAGGGATGGCTGATACCGGCAATCAAGGGTATGTTCTTGTGATGGTTTCAATATTTGACTTCAGATAACTAACGTATTTGGTGTTACAGGTGGAGACGTAGAGTTGCGAGACATTCGAGCTGCATACTTGCCAGAGGCCGTCTTGGCGTACATCAGCGCTCTTCAATTTGCCGGCACTGGCCTGTCCCGAGATAACCTGCTGGAGTGTATGGAGCTCGCATCCCTGGTAGCAGAGCGCGATTCAGACCTCAAAGACGCCTTCCAAGACGCTAGTCGCATGACGGAGCTCGTCGAGGCCTTTGCAGCCTGCAGCAAAGCGCTGGCCATTGCCACCGGCGAGAAGAGGCCATCTGGCTCTGGCAGCAAGAGATTGCGGGAGATGGGATGGTCGCGAGATTTGTGGTCTGTTAAGCCAGCATCTGGCGACGCGAGTGTGATTGGACCTGCCTAAATTTGCCTGCAGCAAATCATATTCTCCCCGACCCCCAGGTTCTCTCTCTCTCTCTCTCCTGTATAGCATGTGTGAAATTTTCATTTTTTCTTTGTTCGGGGCCAGTTGGGATAAATTAAGGGCTTTATGGGATTTACTTTATTTTTTTTCTTTCTCCTTGCTATGTTTCTAGGTGTTGTATGGTACTTTATAATAGGTGGGGGGAAAGGAGAGAAAGCATAACAAGCGCTGGGAGATTGCTCTACTTTTTTTTTATATTAAAAAAGAAAAATGGAGAGGAAACGAGAATATGGACGAGAGGAATACATTGTGTGTGTGTGTGTGTTGAGATGTTGGACGGCTTTATCCACGCGGTTACATACCCATACCCATGCAGATAATAGAAGCATCATATGAAAGCCATATCACCTTGCTCTTCCATCCCTTCTTTTCTGGGCAGGCGTTCCTTCCGTAGTATTGTATTCGGTATACTGAGGCAAAGAGGAGAAGCCACTTGATGGACATCTGCTGAGATTTGGAAGCCTGGTGGACAATCACAACCCATACAGGGCATGGTTACCTTTATAGTTATGTTGGTAGTTCAGGGATTGAATGAATAAGATTATATACAATTATAGAATATGTTGCTCCAAGCCGATTGCCCCGAAACTTCTCATAAGCCATAGACCTGGTTTTTTACCTCTGTACATTAATTATAATACCTAAAACAAATATAGAAGAAAAAACAAAACCTCATCCTAGACTCCTTATGAGAACAGCGTGCAAGCCGTCGCGTTGAGCTGAGTGCAGTATGTCATCTGGATGGGCATGGCGTTGACACCACGAGCAAGCATACGCTCACGGAACTCGTTCAAGCGAGGCACCACCTCAAGCTGGCTGCGGTTCTGGCCGGTCGTGGTATCAACGTTACCAGACCACCAGACCTCACCTGCGGCACTGCCACGGGGCCAGATGATGTTGTCGATGTTGCTGCCGTCAATCATCTCACTCCAGACGGCAAGCTCTCCTCCGAGGACGTTCTTGGCATTCGCCTTGGAAACACCCTTGGCAGGGTCATGGGAGTAGATGAGCCTCCAGTTCTTGGTGGGGGCACACCAGTCACCAAAGGGGTAGTAGGTGTTGAAAGAGTCGCCGTTGGGGAAGTTGACCCACTGGCCACGACCGCAGTCCAGGTACTGTATAGTTTCGTCAGCAATTATCCAGCTATATCGGATTTTTCAAAGCATCAAACTCACGTAAAAGTTGTAGTCAGTGTCAATGACCTTGTGGCCAGACTCAGCCAGGTTCTTGACGGCATCACCACCCAGCCACGACTGAACGACGGTGTCGCTGCCAAGAGTCAGGTTCCAGGTGGTGACCATCTCCTCCCAGACAAATGGTGACAGACCCTGGGCGCGGATCTTGGAGTGCGCGTGAGAGATAAACTTTTGCAACAGAGGCTGCAGCACTTCGCTCGAGTTGGTCTTGAGGCGGGGGTCGATCATGGAGTCGTTTGCGTTGAGTTCATCACCACCAGTGTGGAAGTAGGAGCTATAAGGCGTGATGCGAGGCAGAAGATCGTCAAACAGGGTATCGACGAAATCGTAAACCTTGGAGTCGTTGAGAGAGAAGGCGCCGCAGGGTGGCTCGGCGCAGTAGTATTGGTAAGGCATCTCTTGGTAGGCAACAATGAGATCACTGTAAGCAAGCTCGACAACGCCAATGTGACCAGGCATGTCGATTTCGGTGATGACCTCAACACCGCGGTCAACACCGTATTGGAAAATGCCTGCAAGGTCGGCGGGGGAATAGACAAGGCTTGGGTGGTAGGCGCCCTCCTGAGACAGCTTAGGCAGTGAAGGGATCACCAGAGGCCACGACTGGGAGTCGGTGATGTGCAAGTGCAGACGGTTGAGCTTGTTCCAGGACATGGCGTCAATGGTCCTCTTGATATCAGCGACCGTCTGGTAGGTACGGGCAAGATCAAGCATAACGCCTCGGTGAGGGTAGTTGGGCGAGTCCTGGATGGACACGGGCACTTGAGTCGTGTAGAAGTAGTGTCCGGCAGAGTGCTGGTAGAAGAGCTGGGAGAAGGTCTCGAGAGCGTGCAGGATACCGGTAGAGGACTTGGCACTGATGTTGACTTGTCCATTCTTGGACACGGTCAGGCTGTAGGACTCATCAACGTCTCCAGCGCGCGGCTTGAAGGTGGTTGCGGTATCCTTTCCAGTCTGCTCAATCGCAATGGTCTGGATTCGGTTCAGGGGGGCCAGCTTCGGCTCAAAGTTGCTGTTGCGGGGGTTCAGCTTCCATGGCACAAAGTTGGTGTTGAAAATGGACTGGAAGGTTCGCGAGACGGCGCCTTGAACAATCTCCTTGCTGTTGAAGTTGGAACCGGCAGGTGGGTTGTAGCCGATTGTGATAATCTATCACCAGAGTGTGAGCCATGGCGATCTATCGAAATTTACCAAAAACAAGGCGTATTATCTCAATCACATACCGGTACTCCATTATAAGTCACTCTCACAGCCTCGTCAATGAAGAGAACGCTGTCTCCAGTAGTGATCTTCTGGGGAATGGGCCACAGCGCATTTGCAGGGCTGAAGGCTAGTGCGGCAACCGCGAGGATCGCCTTGGGCAGCATGATGGACGACCGAGGCGGATGGCAATACTATCAATTGGTCGGATCTATGGTGCGTTCCAGGATTCTCAAAGCAGTCCTGCCAGCGCTACTAGAACTACCATTCCCAAAGACGCGGGGCCAGCCAAATATTTAAATACCTGGCCAGCCGATGGCAAGACGCGGTTCATTCAAGGGATGTGCGGATTTCCAAATCGACATGCGTCCCAAAGAAGCAGCCGTTGTGGGCTGGACGGGAGCACGGCCCCCTGACACGCGACAAGCCAGCAAGGTCGATGATCCAGTGGCCAATGCTACCTGGCACGCGCGAGCCTGTCCATACCAGGGACCAGCGCCGGCGGCTCGGCAGGTCGGCAGCCAGCAGACTGGGAATGCCTGGCTGCTGGACAGAAGCTGAGGCTGAGCGTTGGCTGCATGCACTCCGAAGATGGAGGAGACCTCCCTGTTGATAATGAAGCTGTGGCGTTCTGCCGGGGCCGAGTCGACTTGGGTGGTTTTGGGCGCGCAACGTTACGTTAATGAACTTTTTTTTTCTTGGTGGTGTTCACGGGATGCAGCACTCCGCATGTCTAGCAACCAACGTGCATCTTTGTCACTAAGAGCTGCATTTGATTCCTCAAAGAATGCTTGGCAAGAGGAGCTAAAAGAGACAACGACCAATGCTCGTGTCGAAAAGAAAACGATGAAGCAGCATGGACGCACAATTGGCGACTCTGGAACTCTGTCAAAGGGTCTCAGCCCAATGCTGGCAAGTCGGGTAAAATGGCAGTTCCACCCTGCAAGTACATAATGCTCCGTGCTCCGAATGCCGCTGGCAACTTGAAACACAGACAATGATACCCAGGGGCCAGGATCTGACTAGAGATCTAGGTTCCCCCGGGGCCATCATCAGCAGAGTGCTGACTGTGGCGGCCAATGGCTGGCCAGGTATGTGCCGGTATCTGGTGCTCAGTACTCCGTACAAGAAATCCATTTTCTTCTCCTTGGGCCGTGTCAAAGGGGTCAGCGCGGTCCCTGGACAATGCAAAGCAAAGTCGAAGCGATAGAACGATCGAGGCCAGAAGCTGAAGCTGCAGTGCTACACGCCATCCATTCATCGAGAGGTCATTTGGTCCATCCGGCCGCTGGGTGGGCAGAACCCCAAAGCAGCTCCGACGTTGCTTTCTTTCTTTGTGGCGTCGCTCGGTAATCAGCTGGTGCGATTCTCCCCGTGTGCCGCTGAGACCCCGGGACTTTGCTCTGCTTCTTTCTCGCCGTCCCTTTGGCCAGCGCCGGGTCGCTAAGACAGCGAAATGGCTTGGAGAATCCCTGAATGCGATCGTCGTGCGGGGACGCCTCTCCACGGGCCGTTATCGCGAGCCAATCAGCAGGCGGAGAAGCGTTGGTCCGGGCCGCCACACAACCCCCATCATTTGCTTATGTCATGTCTTAGTCCGCATCAGGCATCTGTCAGGATTCATTTACAACGTCGGTGGTTTGCCGGGATATTTTGCGGGGCCGATGGGGGGGGGGGGGCTGGACTGGGACAAGGGCCGGTGGAAATGAGCATGAGAGACAGCTGGGCTGCTTTGTGAGGCTGACGGACAATGTTGCACTGATGCGGGCAGAGTGAAGTGCTAATTTCAACCTCTGTAGCTGGCTCTGCAGGGCGCGAGTTAAATTGCCAGTACCACCACACACGCTGGCAGCTTACTATGTACTACATGTGTACTATTCCTTCGTATTTCCTCGCGTTAGTAGGCAGGTAGCTATCTTGTATGCGCCTCTGTGTGCTGCTCTATTAATTACTAAACTAAACCATGGCACAGAGTCTTTACAATTCCTACACGACATCGTAAGATGTTGGTATACCGTTGTTTTACTGGCCCATGCGGAGCAGAGTTGCTCCGTGCATAACAACGGCTCCAGTCTCTTGGTTATCAAGGCCCCTGCCTATAGCCTATATCGACAAAAGGCCCAATGGACCCATGAATTGAACTAGTATCTGGATATACTTGTAGAGGCCCGGCACGGCATCTCTGATGCTCTTATCGGGGAGCCACTGGAGAGTTACATACAGCAGGACGGAGTAGTGCTCATTAGGTACTGCTGGTGGTATTCACTAACTCATCCTTGCACGTACTTATATAACACATCCTACCCTTGGCGTCGTGGTAACCTCACTTCCCTGACCCCTCTTGTGGTGGGTGCGATGATATGCAGGACATATTGCTGCCCTGGCGCTGAGACCACATTGCCAGCAGCAGCAGTACGGAGCTGTGCTATTGCTATTTGCAGCAGACCTGAGGAGCCATCCGACGATGCTTAGCCCGCCAGGCGTTTACCACCTTCTTGTTAGGTTACACTTTATAGCGCTGCACAGGCATGGACGCCTTCGGCGACGCGGCATGTAACACTGGCTCGTGGTACCGTGATCTCCAGCCATTCGCCATTCAAGGATACATGATGCTAGCCAACTCGCGAAAGAACGCTTGTTTGAAGAGCTCCTTCTGCTGAACTGTACTGATTTGGATATGGCAGCGAAGATCCCTTGCAAGTATATCTTATGACTGGTCCTTTGGATAGACCCTCAATCTACATAGTATCTCTTGGCTCACCAGTCAACTACTAAGGTGTGTGATTGAAGAGCCACTTTTTTTTTAAAGACTGGAAAATGAAAGAACACAAAAATTGGGAACAAGACGCTAGACTTATACCAAAAAAAGAATAAAAGTGCTCCTTATATATTGAGCAACATGAGACGCTGTAGAAACCACTTGTTTAGATAAGATATCCAATCTGTAAGGTAGTATGTAATAGTGGGTGCAATAGTAGAGCTGTACGCAGATGGCTAGTATTTAGCTTCTTTCGATCCGGCAATCTGCTAATTACTAGATTTTAAGCTCCGTTCATGACTTATGTGCATCGTGTACCTACATATGATTGAAATCGCCAAATAGGATTTTCAGCAGGTCTATTGTAAAAGAAGCTTGAGTGGTAGCCATCAATGCCTTGCCGCATCTCACATTGTAGAGTATGTATGGAATACGACCCGCAGCCAAAGCATTATCGATACCTCGCAGCTTGTCACTGTATATTTCAGGCAGCTTAAACATCATGTAATGCCTACCAGCTCTATTATCGCAGACTTTCTCTAGCCACGAAACGCTAGATTATATCATAATACTACTGCTCGTATGTCGTATCCTGTTAGGGTAAGGTATTACCAGTCTCGTAAGCCAAGGTACACGAGCATCTGGTGAGCTAGATCTTGCATGGCAAGTAGGGAGCAAACGAATGGGTAGGGAAATTAGAATCTGCTCAAGAGACGGCTAGGAATTTAGTTCTTGGAGAGGGGGCATGATTTTTTTCATATCTTTTCACGGCGAAAAGTCAGATAATAAAGAAGCACCATTTTTTTATACGATACGTCGAAGAAGTCCAATTCCCTTCACTGGCGCTGGACGTCATTGCAAGCCTTATTTACTCTTCATCCTCGAGGAAAACGTTGTATTTATTCCTCCAGAAATAGATCCCTTCTTAGGCTCGGAAGATGATAGAACCTTCTTGGGTACCAGCGCTGCTATGGTATCAGAGCAAGGACTTCGAGTTCGACGGCTCTCGGGGCACGTGGAAACTCTGAAGACATTCACTCCCACAGGAAAAATGGGAGCGAGCAGCCCATAATAAAGAATTCTCCAAACGTATAATGGAAAGTTTCGCTGTCGGTAAACAAGTGCTGTATGGACTTAGCGTCAGCCTTCAGACATTCCTTGGGAACGGCGAAAGTTTGGAGTTTGCTGTTCAAGCTATTGCAAATCTTGATGACAAACCGATTCGCCACCAGCAACGGGCAAATGCCAGTCACGTGATATCATTCTGACCCATTCTTTTGGCTCCCTGGCAGTCGAGAACAACTTTGAGAACCTCAACTGCTACTTGTGAACCAGACCAGGTCTATTCGCTACACCGGCGCCTCTCACATCTGCCGTGATTAAGCATATCCTCACGACAAATAGACATTTCCCAGAACGCCTCGAGCGGCAATACCGGAAACGAATCTCCCTGCCGCGCGATCCTCTCCCGCCAACTAGGTAAACGCGTCTTGGAAGTGGGACACAGGCAAAAAGCTGTCGCCGCACTGGTCGTCCAGACACCGCGATCCTCACTTCGACACGATGTCTCTCGAGATCGGCCTTGGCACTCCGCTGGCGGAGGCTCTCAATGCTGCGATTCAACCGAAGCTACTTGAAGTTGGATGGGGTACTGGGGGTAGCGATGACTCTGCGCTCGCCGAATACATCATTCTGATGCTGGTCAATGGCAAGACGCAAGACCAGATTGCCACCGAGCTCTCCGGAGACCTTTTAAATCTACCGCCTGATGACCCTGTCGTGCACGAGTTTTCCAAATGGCTATTTGAACAGGTTCATATTCTTAGCGCGCCGAATGGTCAGCCAAACGGTGGCGACTCTATGGGCGACGCTGCGGGTGGAGAAATGGACACGGATATGGGCTCTCATGATGTATCTGAGCTGAATGCGTAAGTACTTTTCGCATTAATGAAGCCTTCATGGCACATACAAGAGTCTTTAGAGCTAACCGGACCTTTTTCTTTGCAGGCCCACTGGCCCCCGCTCAATGCGCAATGGTAACTTCAGAGGAGGACGAGATAAGCGAATGTTTGGACAAATGTCCAAGGCTATGGATCGATCAAACGACAATGTTCTTCATCGAGTTCGCGGGCAAACGGGTAGCGGAAGAATCGATACACATGCTCGTGCCCCCCCAACTGGCCCACGTGGTGGCCGCGGCGGCCTGATGCGGAATCACAACAACAATCGAGGCATGGCGGGCGGCGCAATGCCCGGTGCTCCTGGCGGCCCAGGATTCCCTCAGTGGCAGATGCAAGGCCAACCTTCTCAGCTAGATGTCATGGCCATACTGGAACAGCAAAACCAAATGATGCTAGAACTGTCTCAGCAGATGATGAACAACGGGAACCGAGGATTTGGCCATCAGCGACGAGGGAAGTCTTTGTTTGAGAGAACCCAAGACCCTCGCCACAGGCACAAATTCCCCCGAGGCCAAGGCTCGAACCAAGCTGACGCGAACGGGGACGAAGTCAACATGGAGCATACTGCCGAAGGCGAGGATGTTGATATGGGCAAGCGCGAGCCTCCAAACCCCGACGAGACGGTTTGCAAATACAATCTTCACTGCACAAACAAAGATTGTAAATTTGCACATCAGTCTCCAGCAGCGCCTCCTGGTGTTTCTGTCGATGTCAACGATGTTTGCAGCTTTGGTGCTGCCTGCAAGAACCGCAAGTGCGTCGGACGCCACCCCTCACCAGCCGCAAGGCTTGCACACCAGAGTGAACAGGACTGCAAGTTCTTCCCCAACTGTCAAAACGCTCGATGCCCATTCAAACACCCCTCAATGCCTCTCTGCCGCAACGGCGCAGATTGTACGACACCAAACTGCAAATTTACACACGTTAAGACCAAGTGCAAATTCAACCCTTGTTTAAACCCTACCTGTGCCTTTTCACATGAAGAGGGTCAGCAGGGAGGTTTCAAGGACAAGGTCTGGACTTCTGAACAGGCACAGGGTCACGTTAGCGAGAGAAAATTTGTGGATGATACCGCTGAAGAGGAACTCGTTCAGCCCGGAGAACCCGGCTTGGAAGACATGGTACAATATGAAGTTGTTGGTTGAGCAATAGAAGGGGGAAATAAAACCCACACGATTAAAAGTTTCTGAACACCATGCATTTTGGACGAGAATGCTTCTGCTTCAGTTACTCAAAAAACGGTCATTTAGCCCTTGTATGAAACTGTTTTGGGCTTGGAGGATCTGTACGATTATGCTGGACGCATATGTTTCTTATCACGCTTCCAGGGCATAGAAAGGCGTTTTTGGACTGGGAGATAATGGCTTTTTCACGTGGAGATTTATCACAAAGTTTTATACACGCCCTTGGTTGGCATTCTGTAGTAGCGGCCGGTTATTTCGGCCGGAGGCTCTCACAATTCGAGCCTAGAGACGGATAATAACAGATATTTCTTTTTTCTTTCTTTCTGTAATTCTTTAAGAATAATGACGAAGACTAATTGATCATTTTGGCTCCAGTGAAACATGTTTGATGTGTTGTTACGTAGATCTCATCACCGTGTTAGCTGATGACGCCGAGACGGGGACTGTCTCTCTAGAGAGCGGAACAAAGTGGGACCCGATCTCCGATCATCTAATGTAGTACCCGGAAAGCTCCAGAGGTGGCACCACCAAGTTTCCATGCTCAACCAGAGCTCGACAATGAGCAATTGAACGGCAGCCATGAGCCTTCAGCGCGCAGAAGGCGCCGCAGTGGCTCTCCTCAGGTCCTCAGTCGCCTGGAGGAGAAGCGCCACCTTGGCGACAGCGACAGATCGAGCTGGCGCCTGGCGCATTCTAAGCCGTGGCCTGAGCTCAACTAGAAGCAACAACAGCGATAACGGTTCGGTTCAGCGATCACCAGGCCCGAACGACGATGGAGACGCCGCACCGAAACGGAAGAAGGCTGGAAAACTACCTGATGATGCTTCGGTGGCGGTTCTAGGTGGCGGGTTGACGGGCTTGACGACTGCATATTACCTGGCCAAGTGGCTGCCGTCAACGACCAAGATCACTCTGCTGGAAGGCAGCGATCGGCTGGGCGGATGGATAAGGACGGATAGGGTCCCTGTGAAGGTTGGAGGGGTCGAAGGGGTGGTGAATTTTGAGCGCGGCCCGCGGTCATTTTCATCGTTGAATAAGAGCACTTGGCGGTTTGACGATTTGGTGCTTTGGGATCTGGTGCGTCTACAATTGCCCACCTATATTGCCGCATTGCCACCCAAAACACGGACATTGTAGCAATGGAGGAATGCACTTCTTCAAATCATAAAAGAATGGAAGGCTAACGAGATATGTTTTCATCGTCACTCCCAATATAGGCCCTCGATCTAGGTCTTAAAGTTGCCTCACCGCCTGATCAGCCACGATACATCTATTATCCTGATCACCTCGTGCCTCTCCCCCCACATACTAGTTTTGCCGCCTTTGCTAGAGAACCCGTCGTTCTCGAATCTCTCTGGGCAGGATTTGGATACGTGATGCGACGGCTGTTCAACAAAAAGGAAGGGGTACCCGTGGAGGACCTTTCCATCGCAGACTGGATCTACCACATCACAGGGAGCCGAGCTGTGGCTGACAACCTGGCCTCGGCCATGATCCACGGCATCTACGGCGGCGACATTTACACTCTCAGCGCGCGGAGCGTCCTCGACCGTTTCTACTGGGTTCACTACATGCCGAATCTGGGGCCCAATTTGCGGCACATGGCGGTTTCGGAGCAGACCTTTATGGAGAAGATGGCAGAGGATCCGCAGCTCCGGAAGCTTGCCCGGCAGCCCAGGGGTGCGCTTTTGAATTTTGGAGAGGCTGGCATGGAAGCCTTGCCAATTGCGTTGGCGGATGCGCTCAAGGGTCAGGCCAATGTCGAGGTCAAGCTCAATGCCAGGGTCACTGACTTGGATTATGACAAGGAAACAAAGCAGATTAAGGTATGATTTTACCATCTTGGCATCTTTTATTCCCCTCTTTCACTCTCCGACTCATATACTAAAACTATGGCATTCAGATAACGTCTGGCCAAAACTCAACCGCATCATCTGAGAAATACCACAAAGTCATCTCCACCCTCCCTTCTCAGCACCTCGCCAGCATCACCGATGACATCCCCAGTCTCAGCTCCTCCCACTCCGTCTCTATAATGACTGTCAACATATGGTACCCCCAGACCAATCTCAAACCTCCCGGCTTCGGCTATCTCATCCCCCTATCAGTCCCACCTGAACAGAACCCGGAACGCGCCCTCGGTGTCTTCTTCGACTCTGACGTTGGCGTCAAGGGCCCCAACGAACCTGCCGGCACGAAGCTCTTCGTCCTCATGGGCGGACACTTCTACGACTCAAGCAAATCCCAGAAAGGCTCAACTGTGCCCATCCCAACCGAGGAAGAGGCCATCCAGCAGGCAAAGAGGATTCTCGAGCGCCACCTCGGCATTCCTCAGTCCACCCCTTGCTACGCCATGGCCCGCCTCGCAAAGGACTGCATCCCGCAGTATGACCGCGGCCACCTGGACAACATGATCGCCGCTGACGGTGAGATACACGAGCAATTCGGCGGCAAGCTTGCCGTTGCGGGAGGGTCCTACACTAAGATTGGCGCCATGGGCGCGCTGCGCAATGGTTATGATATTGCTGCGACGGTCGCCAAGGAGGACTGGCTCGCGACGGGGCTGCAGCAGATGGAGTTCCCGACGCAGTTTTGCGGGGTACCTACGGAGAGGATTCCGGTGAGGAAGTTTAGACGGTTCAAGTAAATGTATAATTGGAAGAAAAAGGGGACAATAGCAGGGGGAAACTCGTGTAGTTTTCTTTCCGTTATGTATTTAGACGAGACAACACGGCACCACTACGTTCGATAATTGTCACAGTATATATAGACTTTGGATAGGTAGTAAAATGAATATGCTGCAAGTATATATACACATAGGTACGTTAAAAATTAATTACTAGGCATTTATCTCATAATGAACATTCCCTCCTCTCAGAGCAAAGAATCCAAGCAAGTCCCGTCTCCCCATACCCTCACGCCATTCGTAATCTCTTAAGCATCGCTCTGTCACCACCTACCTGCCCTTTTCAAACAACGAAAAGACAGTTTGATTTTTTTTTCTTCTCTTCAAAAGTGGTGTTGAAAAGATTATGTAGGACCGTCCCCTCCCATATTGATTAAAACCCTACNCCCCAAAAAAAAAAGGCCCCCCCTCTCTATTGTCCAATTCACTCGCTGAGTTATAAGAAAGTTTTGTTTTTTGTTCGCACGAGGTATCATTAGGTTGAAAGAAAAAGCAAAGAAAAAAAATAAGGAGCACGAATGATGTCGCAGAACCCCCTCCCGGTTACCGAACCGAAACCAAACCGACCAAAGCCTTTCCTAAAGCTTTTAGAGCATCAGTATTTCCGTGTTTTCATTCCCCTTTTTGTACTCCAAGTCTATACGGATTCCCTGTAAACGACATCTTTCCAGTGGAAATATATGTGTTCGTCTAACGATGAGCAAGCTCTTTGCACCTCGCCGCAAATCCAAGACGATTACGTCTCTCTCTGCGGCGAGGTCGTTATAGCTCCCCTAATCGCCTTATCAATTGCAAGCAGCATGTCCATCACACCATCATTGGCCTCAGCTGCTGCGCCGGTGGCAAGCCCAAGCCAGTTGCTCCCCTTGCCATCCCAAACGGTTTTCAGTGCTTTGCTAATCTCGTCGTCTGCTGCTGCATCAGGATCGGAGCGCCAAGCGTGCCACCAAACTTGTCCGCGGCGAAGCCGTATCCGGACGTCTAAGCAGATGGTCTTCTTAGTCTTCTCCCCGGTGCTGCTGACCCCAAAAATGTTATACTTAAGGTTCATCCAAGTCAGAGATTTCATGCTGAAGTTCAACCGACCCTGCCCCTTCTTCGACAGCTCATCCCATTCGGCATCTAGCTGGTCAATAGCCTTCAATGCGGGTAATGACACGGGCAGCCAGGCCATCAATGAACCAATACCGCCTTCTGTGCTCGCCAAGTTTCTTGCGAGGTCAATAACACGGAGATGGGGATTACCCTTCTCTATGTGGATATCAATGTCTTCGTTGGATAGATCCATTTTCACTCTCCAACGTTCAGGAGACGAAATCAAAGCCGCAGATTCGTCCTTTGGTTGTGTGGATGGCGGCGCGCTATAGCAAAACACGACCGCCTTCAGTGTGATAGACTCGCCAATAATTGAACCCTTAGCCTTCTCCATAGCTTCGAGAAAGTTGACAAATCTGTCTATAGCCTTGACTCGCGACTTGAGAATGTCAAATATTGGCTGAGTCACCGGTCGTGGTATTTGCAATACGAATTCGCCCCTCTTAGGATCATAGGAAACGTCGCGATCTACCATGCCCTTCAGAGCCAGGAATTTGGCTGGTCGTCGGACCCTAATCACGGCTTCAGAGGTACAAACAAGGTCATGGCTCGTGGTGTAACCTTCGTCTATCTCTCGATGACTTGCCACTGCATGAACACCCTTGAACCTGATTGCCATCATGTCTTCTGCCCACGGTTGCTTCGTAGATGAGGTTGATCCCGACGTTGGGCGTATCAACGCGAGAATCTGCAGATCCTCATTTGGCTCAACAACGCCACCATGACCCTGAGACGACATATCTTCTGCTGTCTCCTGCATCATGGATGGGAAAATTGTCGACAGCGCCACTTCGATAGATGGTATCCTAACTTGCTGTGGTAATGACAAGTCGGCACTGCCGCTCGACTGGCTCTTGATCTTGAGTCGACGCAGCTCTCTCATATCGACTGACTGGGCTATTATACCAGCCGCAAATGTATTCAGGTTATCCCAGAATATGCCAGACACTTGTGGGGCTCCTTTATTCAGCGGAAGGCGGGTTGAGAATTTGGAGGCGCCATTTGAATTTGGAAGTGAATTTGTAGGATCACTGCATATAGTCGGTCAGTTTTGAGAGGCGAAACGATTCAATTTATTGTTAGTATCCACTTACGTCTCAAGCAGCCACCACTCATCCCCGTCTAGGCTGAGGATAACAACAACAAACCAGGCGGATCCCCATCCTCCGTGTTGAATCCATAGCGTTCGACTCCATTTACGCATCTTGGTAATTGACCTCAACTCATCAACATTGACGGGCGCTTTGCGGACAGACCATCCCCTTGCAGTTCCCATTCGGCCCAACTCATCCTCTATAATCGCACACCGCAGGTGCTCCAAGAAGTTGACACCATCATCCAATGGATTTTTGCTGTTGTTTAGTTGAAGCTCAGGCTGCATTGAGAATTTTGAGTGTGGTTTCATGGCGAAAGCGCCACTTATCGGTTCGACTAAGAGTGATACCGTGCCGCCGTATCCTACCTGAAGGGCTAAGCAGGAAGCTACTGGATCAACTCTGGAAATATTGAGCATCACACCAGTATCGCGATTCTTGAACCTCGGGGTTGCCAACAATCTAGAGTGAATGCTTGAGAGGATGAACTCAATGTGTCGTCCAACGATGTCGTTTAGTAAGGATTCCGCTGATAGATTCTCAACGTCCACCTTGATTTCAACATCTTTGACCTCCTTGTTGTCGCGATACCATTTAACTACCAAAGAACTTGTTGCTTTCGGATCTGGCCTGCCCCCCGGCTTACGCCCGCTGCTAACCGCTACAATAATCCAGTTTTTCACACCTGTAGCTGTCGATCGAGACGTCCAGTATTGGATGGCTAAAGCTCGATTCAAAGGTTCCACTGCCAATGTGCCACTCCATGATGTTCGGTTCAGTTGTAGAGCTTGGCGTTTCAGCTCATTAATTTTCGCAGTCAATACAAACTCGTGTAAGAACTGATAACAGCCAGCTAATCCATCTTTTGCGAGCGCCTCATTTACGCAGTTCTCCAAGAATGTTCGTAATGTATCAGGAAGCGATAGTGTTGCCGGTCGAAAGGCGAATCTGAAGTCAATGAACCAGAATTGTTTCTCAAAGTCCTCGTCGGCAATTGTCAGGTCCACCTCGAACTCTCCCGCAACTTTGAAAGTCACCCGGCCAGACCCAATCGTGTAATTTTGGAATTGATAAGGTATCTTATCGAAATCATCAAGATTCAGTCGCAAAGAGAGGAGCGTATCTAAATCGCCAATGCCTCTCAGCTGCTCCTCTAGTGTCAAAGGAGGCAACTCTATGTACTGAAGCTTCACACGCAACCATGTAAGAGAAAAAAATCTCACAAAAATGGGGATAGGGAAGAGAACTTACATCGGGCATCCATGGTGCCTTTCCAGTGGCAAGAATCTGCAATGCCGTCTTTAGATCAGGGCTTGGCATTCGAGCATATGTGAGATCTCTCTTCACATTTATGATGCTATCCAGAGCTGCATCATAAAGTAGACGTTGCTGATCGATGTGAAATTTGAGGTCAATGAGCTTGCTGACCGAAGAAGCTTTTCTGCTCCATTCCGTAATAACCAATGCTTTGACCCATTTTGAGTGCATATCTTGGATGAAATTCAGCAACACTCCCTTCTTCTTAAGGTTCTCCATCGATGTATCATCCGGGGCGCTTTGGGTATAATTTGCACTACCATTTGTAGCGGCGGTAGAGATTGGCATCTTGGCTAATTCGGCAATCTTATCCTGTATCATGTTGTGAGTGGACTGGGCGAGTCGCGTAAGAAGTAGGGATATCGGTATGAAGCCCTGTGTTATGTGAATGATCTCATCGGGAAGATCATTCATCCTTGACACTTGTTCGGCCGGGGAACCTGTTTGTGGCCCGCTCGCGCTCCCTCCATTGATAGCATTGTTCCCATTATTAGCTGTAGCCGTAGCTGGCGCCTTTCCTTTATCCGGTGCAGCTTTCGATCCATCAACGCTCTTGACTCCGTTGACTCCATTTACAGCTGAGTCCTTATGATGGTCTGAAAGCGCACCATTCTGGCCTCCGCTCTCCATGTTGACGACTCCAGGCATTTATCGAACCGCGGCAGCAAAGTGCTGTAGCTCCCCACGCAAAGAGCTGATACTGCAGGCACCACGCCCCCCTAACAACGCAACAAGCGCGGCTATGAGAGAGATATCAAGCTGCGGCGCGCGTATCATGGATAAGAGAGATTCTGCCTTTTTGTGAACCGCAGCAGCGGGACGTGACCATTGAGGTCGTCTGCACCGATGCGGATAATCGGGCGCGCGCGTTAGAAACGATTTCGCATACGAGCGTAGGAGTCGGGCTGAATTTCTGGCTGCTGATTCACGGATGCCGTTTCAGTTCGAAGCGATCAACAGATATTCTCAATAGCGGTCGAAGGCGTTTGCACGTGTTTGAATGGGTTTCGTTTCGGAAGTAGACTGTTACGAAGATGATTGGAACGGATAGAATAGCCGAGAAAGTGAGAACGCGGCCTGGATATAGGTAGCGATTGCTTCAAAGGCCAGAGATTCGAAGCGTGTTGCAGTCGGTATGCCTATGCGAGAAGAGGATAAAATACAGGCGCGGGTTTGGGAGCGAGTCGGGTGGTTGATGATGATGCGCCAACCAAAGCCGCCCTTCTCCGTTAAAGATTCGAGTGATACAACCAAGGCTGGCGGACGCCAAACGCTTGTCGGCATTATCACGTGAGTAGCGGCGCACGGGCCATCAAAGCTTCCAAGCACTACTGCCGGTGCTAAGATGTGAAACTAGTACAAACGTGGTATGGAGCCCAGGCAAAGCAGGGAAACTTTTGAAGTACAAAGTAAAATACTCGAGCAATACAATAAAGTTCTAGTATTGCTCGTCAAATATGTTAGGAGAAGCTCCCTGCAATTTCATATGACTACCTAGTATCTCTAGAACAGACATATGCTTCGAGCCAAGTATCTAGAAATTTTTTTTATACTTGAAATAATTTCCCCAGTCCTAGAAATCCAGTACGACGCTTAAACTTTTAATAATATCCACGTCACCTTACATGCCTTTCCTGATACCTATTATACGTCCAATACGTTACACTTCGGAACGGATTTATATATTGAATTTTTTTTTTTTCTCTTTTTGTGGTTTTTTTTTTTTAACTGTATCGAATGTTACTATGTTTATTCCGCCCAGGATCCGCGATAACATATGACAAACATTGCGCAACACATGGCAGCCAGCTACTTACAACTTGATGGGAGCAGCAGCAGAGGTTGTCGGCCACTGGTAGCCGGCAGCATCACTGAACTTGTATCCATAGGATGCCGTGAAATCATCCAAAACAGCGGGGCCTCGAGATCCTGTAAAGGCGTGTCAGTGTAAGCCAATTCTAGCAATCAATGCAATGGGACTTTTGACAAAATCAGATAAAACAACACTTACCATAGGGGTATTCCATGGGAATAATCTCCTTGTTGTCCTCTAGGTAGTGTAGCAGAGGAGTGAACATGCGCCAACTGGCATCGAGCTCATCGTCACGAACGAAGTTGGAGTGGTCGCCCTTCAGGCAGTCGAGCACAAGCGACTCGTACGCCTCCGGGATCTTGAGGTCCGAAAATCGGCGTCGGTAGGTGAGGTCAAGTTCAGTGACTACAGTCTGGGTGCTCAGGCCAGGAAGCTTCGAGTTCATCTTAATGTAGACACTCTCGTTGGGCTGAATGCGCATAACAAGCTCGTTTCGGGGGATGTCCTTGAAGATGCCGGAGGTGACATCCTTGAACTGGATTCGAATCTCCGTCTTTTGCTCGTTGAGGGCTTTGCCGGCCTTCATGATGAATGGAACGCCGTCCCATCGCTCATTCTTAATATAGGCGACAAGAGCACAGAAAGTTGGGCATCGGGAGTCCTTGGGCACGGTATCGTCTTCCTTGTATGATGGCTTGCTTCCGTCCAACGACCTTCCATACTGTCCGATGATGACGTTCTTGGGCTCGATAGGGGGCATGGCTCGGAGGACTCTGACCTTCTCATCACGGATATCCTCAGAGTCGAATGAGATGGGGCGCTCCATAGCCAGGAGAGTGAGGACCTGCAGAAGGTGGTTTTGCATGACATCTCGAATAATGCCAAACTCGTCAAAGTAGCCTCCACGGCCCTCGGTGCCGAACGGCTCCTTGAATGTAATTTGGACGTTGTCAATGTGATGTCTGTTCCAGGTAGCGCCGAGGAAAGAATTGCCGAAGCGCATGATGAGAATATTCTTGACCATCTCCTTTCCGAGGTAGTGATCAATACGGTAGAGCTCTTCCTCTTTCCAGTCTGGTTCCAGAGACTTCTGCAGCTCGCGAGAGCTAGCAAGATCCTTTCCGAAAGGCTTCTCGATCTGTAGGCGAGTGATTAGACGGTACCGATGAGAGAAGAAGCTCAAGTTTGAGAGTGGCCCTATCAGCCACCAGGAAGAAACTTACGATAACTCGGGCAATACCCCTGGTTGGGTAGCAGCATCTCTTCAGGTGCTGCGAGACAATGGTAAAGACACTAGGGGGCAGTGCCATGTAGAACAGGCGATGCGCCTCTGGCCATCCCTTCTCCAGATCTTTGAGGTGATCGTTCAAGACAGCGAAGGACTCATCCTTGTCGTACTGGCCGGAAACGTAGCTGCACAGGCTGGTGAACTCCTCCAGCTGCTGCTCAATCTCCTTGGTGGGCGTCTTGATGTATGATTTAATCCGTCGTAGGTACTCCTCGTGGTCCATCTTTGTTCGGGCATAGCCAATGATTTTTACGCCCTGGGGCAGAAATTGGTTTCGGTACTAATAAGGGGAATGGTCAGCCGATGCACCTCTCAAGGCTTCCTGCACCCTTTTCCACAAGAAAAAAAGGGAAAAAGCCCATAGTCCATTCTGTGGTTGTGGTTGGGCTGCTTACAAGGCCAAAGAGCGCGGGGTACTGTGAGATTTGAAGAGTCCATGTCAGCGCAAAGGTCGCAGAGCAAAAGCTAAAGCTGCGCAAAAATCCATGATTCTCACCGTCTTCTTCTTAGCGAGATCTCCGGAGGCACCGAGAACGACAATCGTCGTGTTCTCCTTGAGTTCGATGGTTTGGCTGCATGGCAATGGTTAGCAAGGCGCGCGTTGTTGATGCCGTTTGCTCTCGTCTTTGGTGCTGTTGGCTCGACCCCGCCGCTGGCAAGCTTGTCGGCAGCGTTTGCAGTGACGATAGCTCTTGTCATGGTGGGGTTACCGGTACTTACGGCTGGCTGTGGTCCATTGCGACGGCTGGCCAGACTGCTCTGGAATCGGGCTGGGTGACACAAAGAAACGAATGCTGGACAGTAAAAGAGAAGAAACAAACAGCTGGTCTGCCGTTGGGCGAGGATTTGGGTGCAGTCGCCGGTGCGTGCCTGGGGGTTCAGTGTTGGGTGTTGAGAGAGAAGAGAGAGCTTGGGGGACCAGAGGATCGAGGGGGGACGCGGTGGGCTGCTGGTTTTTAGGCGACGGGGTTACAGAACGCTGACGGAGTTTGGAGCTCTACTGGAGCAACAGGTGCTGTTAGCCCTTTTAGAGCGCCCCCATCCTCCGTTCGTGCCGCAGACGCCATGGCTAAGGCACCTGCTGGGCCGCCCCGTTAAGTCATCATCAGGCTCGGAGTATCTGCAAAGGTACTCAGTACTGCATTCCAACCTGCTAGCTGCTAGCCGGTCCCTGCAACACTGTAGTCATGTAACCCGTTGAGCTCCTCTCGAGCGTCATCTCCACCATCCATCTGGCTAGTAATTTGCCCGGCTGGAGTCTACCGATGGAAGTTGCCGCTCCTCGGTGGTGCTGTAGTGTCCTTTGTGCTGGCAAAGTTACCAGACAAATGGACTCAGGTGACGGCAGCGGCAACAAGTCTCAGCAACATGTTCTCATCCACATGGCAGGTTCCGAACAGGGTTGGTCCCAGATAATATCCCCAGATGACGAGCAATCGCTGTTTCTCCAACTGGAAGTTTATAGATGCAGATAGATCACAGCTGGCCAAGTATTTGCAGCGGTAATCGCCGTGGGTTACGCCAAGTGCATGTAGCATTATATGCGCCGAATGCCTGTTTCGGACGGAGTACCGAGGGGTTATCCGCAAACCGAGTTGGAGACAACTACCACTAGATAGTACTAGGCAAGGTAGCAAAGCCTACCTATTGCCCGAAAGAGTTTGTTTTTGGGGGTCAAATCATATATGCGCTTGCTGGCACGCCTGTTGGGACTATGTACCTAGGGAACGGAATATTTGGAAGCAACACGTAATAAATCTCATTTTCGCGGCGCCATGTTGCCCATCAAATCCTGCAATGGTTGACCACGACCGTTTGATACTTCAACTCAAGAGACAGAGTAAAAAAACCGCAGCGAAGATGGCCGGCTTGCCGTTGATAAGATTCGAGGCTAGATACATACATGGCAACGAGGGATAATTGCATTAGTAGGTACCTGGCATTTAGCTGACTGGCGAATTGCTGGTAGTTGCGGTACTACGGACCTCCGAGCACTACTAACTTATCTTTGTAATGAGCAACCTCCCACCTACACACTGCGATATCCCTGATTCAACATCAGGTGCAACAATTACTGGATTCCGTCAATGCGTTTGGCTAGGACTTTCGTTAATTCCGCTGGAGCCGCAATAAGTCCTCCAAACACCGCAGTTGGTGGACCAAGGAGTGGACAGCGATGCGTCTGTCTGCGAGTAATACAGGTAGGTGCTTCGAGGAGGATTGGTAAGCCTGCTGCCGTTTCCTGCGCGCTCGCCCCGGCCTGGCCCCCTCATGGAGCCGGGAACTTTTAGACGGCCTGTGGTTGATCAGTCG